TTTTAGACAAGTAATTTGATGTAATTTATTGTGATTGATAATTGTAATTTACTTAAGGTGAATATTACGCTTGTAAAGGTGTAAAGGTTGCATGGTTTTTTGGTTTTTACAAAACTTAATAAGTCTTGCATGTTCATATTTAATCTGAATATAACACGCGGATTGCATGTTGGATATACGTTATAGGTTGAATATCACAAGTAAAATATGTATTAGAAAAACCTAACTTTCACAGCATGTATGTAGTAATTCAAAAGTAGTTAGTAGAACTACATATGATTTTTAATAGCGACGACTAAACCCTAGTGCCTTTCACATTTGATTTCTAAACACCATGTGCTTTTATTCTTTTTGCCGATTTTGATATTGCCAATTAGTTATTTTTATTCTGTTCTTGTTATTTAAACTCACAATTTCAATCTTTTAAAAAATCTTTGTGTTGAATAGTTAAATAGGAATTAGTTTTAAATCCACATTATTCTTATCAATCCTTATGGAGAACGACTTTACTTAAACTGTTTATGCTACAATTATCTTGTTCTCTTGTAAATATTTTATAGGTGTTTTTAACTCTATTTTTATAGGTGATAAAAATATTATCAGTACCTACACTATTGATTTATCTGATATATTTGGATGACTAAACAATATCTGATTCGAACGATTTTTTTGTAGTGATGGTTTTCAAATGAAAGTTAAGAGATTGAACGACTCCGATTATGAAATTTCTACAGTACACATACGTTATCCGTAATTAAATACGTGGAATTATGTTTACATTTTAATTAAGGATAATGTTGGGTAGACTAGTTTTTTAGACTGACGTGTCACCAATATAAAATAAGCACATTAATCAACACCTAAGTAATAATCCAATCATCATCACGGTATATGATTTACAAAATTTGATCTCAATAATTAGCCTCCCTAGTATTTTCCTTTAACTAACTCTTCAATGCGCGTGCTAAAGGGTGAGAGGGACCACTACAAACGTTCTATACAAACAGCTGCGCAGAGGCTCAGAACCACCAGCTGGAGACCATCACATATAGTACTACTTCTCCAACTAAACACATTGATTCACTAGTTCGCTAGATTCATTAGTAACCAAATTGATCACCAGGCAATGGCAATGAAGAAGAAGAAGAACCCTAGCAAGGGAATGGTTGCAGCTGCTGGCAACAAAAAAGAAAGCTTTTGTAAACCAAATCTTTCAAATTATGCAAGTGTAATTCCAGCAAAGAGGAGGTCAGTGAAAAGGATGATGTTTGATTCAATGCTCAAATCTCTTGCCTCTTTTTTTCATCGCTGGTCATCGTCTTCCTCTCAAGACTCCAAGTCCAACAAGAAGACGACCAGCCTCATATTTTCAGACCAATCCTAGAATATATTCATGGATACGTTCACAATCTTCGATCTCTCGACTGATGTTGTTCATGTATCAACATATATACTATCATGCTGTTCATGAAATTATTGCAGTGTACTTAGAAAGCTAGGTCATAGTGTCTTAGTAGATATGTTTTCCGGTGTCCAGCTAGCTGACTCAGGCTAGCCTTTACGTTTCTGTATCGTAAGTAATTAGAGTTTTAATTTTCTTTCAGATCAAATAAAATTTTATTTAGAACGATATCGTACATAGTGCAAATGGTAAGGAAAGCAAATAGTAATGCAAATGGTATATCAGAGACCCATTCAAATATGATCCACAGGCGACTTGGATGGGAGCGAAAGGGGCTCCAAATTTGAAGGGGCTACTCAAAAAATGTTGTCATCTAATATTTTTTTTAAATAAAAAATTTAGAGTACAGATGAGATATTTAGATAGCCAATAGCAACACTCTAAAAACGATTTTTTTTCTTCTTTCAATTTTATTATATAATAATGATATATATTCAAGTAAAACATTAAAGTTAGAGTTTTTGAAGCTTTGATTCTTGTTTGATTGTTTAAAATTAAATTGTTTTTGATTATTTAGTGAAGGTTATGTTAGTAGCTCTTCTTACATATTATTTAACGACATTTATTGCTTTCTAAAATCAATAAATTGTCCTACATTTTTTTTTTTGAAAAACTATCTTAAGAAGAGGCCCTTTTATAAATTTTGCACAGGATCCGAAATCTTAGAGACAGCCTTGATATAATCTAACAATTAATAGAAGATTCGAACTGGAACCTCTTCCACCATTAAGAGCAAAAGTACCACTAGAGTAAGAAGAATCTAAGAGGTTAAACCGAGGCTCAGTTTGTTGGCCACGGAAGAAGTTCAGTTTGGTTGTATTCCTTGATTCCAAACCAATTTCATTTCAGCAACAAAATAAGTTTCAATTTCACCACTAAAAAAAGTCCCTTGAAAACAAACCTAGAGCACCTTAATATGTTCGAAGGAAATTAAATCGGTCTTCATTGAACATTGACCTATCATAATTCTAGATCATCAGTAGATCGTGTAAAAATTATACAAAGGAATACATAGAGTTGAACATAGTAAAATAAGAAATTAGATTGTTCGTTGGAAATCTCCCGAAAAGCTATACCAAATTTTTCCATTTAAATTGATTGTGCCTATCCTTGTGGGATAATAAAAATGGAAGAGGTCCAGCGGTTTCCGAATCCATATCTAAGGAATTACAAAAAAAGTACTTTCGATAAAGATGTGAACTAAGAAAATTGGTCGACAAAATATGATCAAAGAAATACAACATTGAGTGTTTTCCAATAATGTCTACAAAAATTCAAACATGGAAATTGACTAGCCTCTGGTGTACAGGACAAGGTTTTGCTGAGCGTCCAATCAATAGTTTGTAGGAGGATTACGTTTCCCTACAAAGATTTTTTTTTTTCAATAGCTCAAGTCCATGCATCGTTCCGAAAAAGAAAAAAAAGAAGACCTCAAGTCCATGTCAACCCCAAAGACCATGTGAAGAAGAAGACGGAAAATCTTTGGTTTCATTGCTTTAAGATCATATAAATCCTCTGCAAATCTTTCTTTTCATTGTGTTAGGGTCATACAAATCCTCAGCAGATCTCTATAAAGATTGCTATATTATTAGTCCCCGGAAAATGTCAATATATAGAGTTGTTAAAAATTTATGAGATAGTGAACCATGGGGGCTTGATTCACTACATACTGTTTTTGGTCCGATGCTTTGACTTTGTATACACATATTCTTAGGGAAATGGTTTCTGTAGATAGGGTAAATCAAAGTAGAATTGGGGGACAAAAATAAATAGAAGTGTGTAGAAAAAAAAAAAAAACTATTTGTGCGAAAATCACTTCCCATAATGTTACTGATTAGTAAAGATTGTCGCCAAATTTTTAAGGTTTGATTGATATAAAGAAAAATTAATGAAAATAGCTTGAAAGCTTTGAATTTTAATGATAAGGACAAAATAAAAGTTGAAGTGAATAGTACCAGGATTGACTTTTTAATGTAAAAATATGATTTTTCGTTAAAATGAACAGTACCGATGACTTTTCGTTAAAACTCCTTGATATAATGCCCCCTAAAAATATGATCGAATCCCATATTGTTTTTAGAAGTAATGTTGTGGTCCCCTGACCGCTGTTTAGCGTTTTACTTTGCCCCAGTGACCGTTAAGTTTGTCAAAATGTCCATCCAAATCGTTAGCATGCCAAATACGAAACGCCACTGTTTAGAAGAAGGAAAAACTGAACACGAGACCTCGGATGTTCGGTTTAACCTTCTCAAATGGATTCCAAAAGAAAGAAAGCTGCGTTTCCTCCAATCACAGAAAAAAGAGTAATTAGGAAAAGCAGCGCAGATGGGTTTTGTTTCATATCGTAATAATTATATTCATCATGAAGCACTTTACCTTGCAAATTAACTTCACAGATGGGTTTTCTAGAAGGTGTAGACTTGATAGTGCTCGTTGACCAAAATATAAAAAGACTTAATAGTGCCCCCGAACTTGGCTACGCAAACGTGTGAGATAATGTAGAGTATCGTCCTATATTAAATTTAAAAAAATTTACAAAAGCTATTTATAAGGAGTTACGTTACTCTTATTGCCGATTTGTCTTAACCTCAATTTCTTTTTTGGTGTCAAAATATGTTCGTTTACATGTAAAGTTCAATAACCATGCATGCTACAAGTTACCAATTTCGTGTTGCGCAAGTGTTTAAAGTGCCATCACACTTGAGTGAAACATTAACTTCAAATGACCCCAGATGCACAAGTTTCTTTAAGCCAAATTCATTCAATTTACAGCTGTGAAAAATTATCCCAAGAATTTTTCACTCCGCCGGGGCAACATTCTTCCACTGCAACAACCGAAGGCATTAACTTCCCAGCAAAATATTTGTAAGCAAATGCTGATCAACGTGCGATTTGGGGCAGGGATTAGAGCAGTGGAAACCTGAAAATGTTGTTGAAGCATCATGAAGCATTTCTTGTGCATCAGTGACCAGGAGAGACTGGAGCGCTCCTCGGAGGTTCAGGTAGGGTAACTCTAAGGTCTTCTCTAATCGAAAAAACTAAATACAACTCGTTCCATAACTATAACCCTACAAAAAAGTATTTTTAAATGAACAATATTAGACCATATATAATATCTAACAGAATGGGCTAAACATAAAATTCTTGTTAGTAGCTTAACTAACTACGTGCATTTTAGTGGCCGTATTCGTTTAAACATGTGATTCTAGCATGCATTATAACGGTGTCTATAAGTAAAAGCTACTATTATTCACTGTTGTTCAGCTAAACTTTCCTTCAACGGGAGTCCAAACTTTTCAGAATATCAACAAGAGTCATCCAAAATTGATGAGAAAATTAACATGTTAAAAGAAATAAAATTCCTAGTTGAAAAAAACCCAGAAAGAAAAATGAAATGCGTCGACAGCAGGATTCGAACCTGCGCAGGCAAAGCCCAACAGATTTCGAGTCTGTCTCCTTAACCACTCGGACATATCGACAATCTTGTAAAATCACCAGAACAAAAAGATATATAACATTTTATTTCCCTCTCTCTCTCTCATTCTGTTACTTTAATTTTCCCGCTATTGATGGAAAGGGGAATTTCAGTGTCGGGCGAGCCCTAAATTCAACACGGCAAATCCCTAAATTCGTTCCCACCAATTTCTCTTTAATTTGAAAATTTCACAACAAGCTCTCACCAGTTGCTGCGAATCTGAATCCTCAGAGAAATGGGAGAAGCTTCTGGAATTTCGAAGCTGATTTCGTACAGCGACGATCTGGTGAAGGTGTTGAAGGACGAGAGGGACATCAACAACTTGGCGCAGTGTCTCCAGCACCGCGAGGCCCTCCGCTCCTCCTGCGATTCCGATTTCAATGAACTCCAGAACTCGCTTCGAGGTTTGTTTCTTCACTTGTGTTCCTTTTGTTTCCCGAGAAAATTTACGACCCAGAAAATTCTCAGTCGGTTTGTAATACTTTTTCACTTTTGAAGCTGCTAAACTCTTTAGTCTATACCTAACATAAATATTGGATTGTTTAGTTTTGGAAATTACTGTATGCACACCCCCGCAGAGAGCTCCATCTCAAAATGTAGGGTTCTAAAGTATTTCCGGGAAAATTTCCCCAAGAAATTGGAAAAGGGCGGATTTTTAGGTCTAATTTATGATTCTTTGTTTAGCTTTCGATTGAATTATTTCCGGTATCTGTGATGCGGATTGGAAACAATTTTTATGCATTTGCAGTATCTTCCTTTCATAAATGCTGTTCGAAGAGATATATTTGGTTGATGTTGTATGTCAGTATGTGCGTTGATTGATGAGTTCTTATATGAAGCAGACTACCAAATAAAGACAGATGAATGCAAGCAGAAAACTGAGGCAGCAAAATCGGAGGTTGTTGCTGATGAAGAGCTAGACCGTCTTCAAAGAGAGTTTGATGTGGATGCTGAAATAGAAAGTTCGCTTATGGAGGAGCTTAGATAAGTATACATTTAGTTGTGTTGGCTGTCAGATTTTTAATTTTAGGTTGACTAGCAATGGTTGTCGATTTGGCTCTCTTTTGCTTCAACACAGTTATAGGCAACGAGATTAGTGATTTAGAACGCCAAAGGATTGATGTTCAGGAGAAAAAGCGAAACTTGAAGAGGCGTGAGCAAGATGAGTTCAGGGAACAGTAAGTATTTCGAAGTTTGATGCTGACATTATGTCGATTCTTTCTCTTCTATTCTCAGTGTTTTATATTCTTAGGTTTGAAAAACATCGGTAAAAGTATATACATTCTGTGTTGGTCATGAAATGGATTGTTCTGGTCGTGACAGACTGACAATCCATATCTAATCAATGAAATATTATCTCTAATCTACAGGAGGAAGCTTTCCATGTATGCTTCTGTCACAAACATTATACCAAACCTGGAAGATCAATCGCGTGATATGGGCTGTATCCTACTGCTGAAACTTAATACATGCATATTTGTTCATTCATTTGTTCGTTTATTCTTTTTCTGCAATGTTATTAGAATATGATAAGGCTGTTTTATATTGCTATCACCTTTGTTTTCCTTAAGCCTAAAATTACAGATATATTGGATAGCAATAAGAAAATTGTTCAGAAGTTTGAATTCGACCCAACAAAGACGACTGCCTTCCAAACATGTGATAGCGTTTGGAAGATGATAGCTTCGTGATAGATCTTGAGCATTTCCCTTCGGACGGCTCATATTATGGGATGGTGTTGGTGCCCTATGGAAGCATTTTGCTTGTGTACTTTGCGTTTTTACAGTCTATTTGTTGTAGCAGAAGTTTGAAGGGCGTATTTGAACGCCATATATTCGAAATTGAGTTTCATTCATATCTGTTGAACCAAGGTACACCACCAATAGATCATCTTAAAACTCTACATATAATGCTGGTCAATTATTCGTAATGATACCAACGTGATCTTATGAATTTGTTACACCATGTAGGTTTCCAAAACATAATGTAGCATAAGCTGCAGCATACGCCAATTCATAGATTAATCAGCAATACTGTTTTTTGTATATATCAGGACCGGTCTTGAGATTTTGAGGGTCCGTTGCAAAATTTAAACTGGAGCCCTGACTAAGAAGTAAGAGCAGAAACAAAATGTGCAGCGTCCAATTTTGGCTCTCCTTTTTCTCATAGTCACTATCGTAGCATGTCGGTAAAGGTTCAGGTTGAGCAATTGCTCGATGAAGGAAGCACAGTTGAGCAAAGTGCTATAATAAATAGTCAGATCAACTTTCAGATGGTCTGCTACTTGGGGATTCAGAGGAAACAAAGGCGGGGAGGCGGAGTCGATGCCATGATCACCTTCAACGGAAGAGCACGATGGAAGAGAAATGGACAGCACAAGAGTAAGAACAAGGGAGAAGAACAACTTAGGAGAAGCCATTAAGGCATTCATTTAGCTCTTAATGTTTGCTTAATTAGCACTTAAGGGTGGTGAGCATATATTCATATTATACAGATGTCCCAAATGCAATGTGGACACTTACCAAAATTGTTTAGGATGCATAATTACACGTCGGAAAATCTCGGTCTTTTGTTTTTCTTTTACAATTAAGGGGCTTAGGATTCTGCTAAATAAGGATTAAAAAGAAGAAAAATAGGGCCCAAACTACATAATTAAGCTGCAATTAGAACCCCTTTTTTGTAATTAGCAAGTCCTGCGAATCCATGCACATCACAAATCCGATGTTATATAGGGAATGATTAATGACCTGCTCAGACTTATGGTTAAACAAGAAAAGCATTATCCTAAATAGGTGAATTCCTAAGGGCTCGTTTCGTGCTTCGAGTTGGATTGGACGGGAGAACTTGTACAATTCAATGTACAAGCAACGGTAGAGCTGAATGATTTTTCATTTTGATCGGATTAGAATAGATTACATGATGAAAACACATTCCTTCTACGCACCGGACGAGCTCTAGAGTTCATAGCTCCAAACACACCCCATTTCCTATTCTAACATTTGTGCTAATCCTGAATATTAATATAAATCAGGTACTCAAGCAAGCTGAGAAATTGATTTCTGCGGCGATAGAGTACTCTATTGTGCCTTTTGCTTCAAATGCACAGATCGGCAGGCCATCGGCACAGCCACACCTTTGTAAGCCTTGCATACATAGGAAGCGAAATTTTCGTAGTCCTGCATTAAGGCGAAAAACATTGAGAGAGATAATCATGCATCAAGGCCAAAAATGTAACGCGAAAGAGAGATGACGAACATTTCCAATCGGTTGATTGTTCAGAACCAGCCATGGAACGAACTTAAGAGGCAGACTGAGGTGCGCGGTTTCATTCGCATATTTTAGTTCAAGCTGCATTGCGTTAACAACCTCAATTGTCAGCTTACGCGACATAAACACGAATTATGGTAGATACGACTACGACTATTCGACGAGTACTAAACGAAGTTAACCTTTGTTGCATTTGCACTTTTGTAGCAATCCAAAACGGGCTTTAAAGGCAATCCCAATGAGCTGAAACAAGTTTGCCATTCCTTGTGCCTTCCCTCAATGGCCAGAAATTCTATGCAGTATATCAAAGCAAAATGCTTGTTCTGCATCACAAATTCATCCGAGTCCACGCGAATCCGAATACATTTAAGACCAAAAAAATCACATGCCGGCCAACATTCTATTAAAAATCATCATTGCAGCAATAAATTGTATGGAAAGAGAGGGGTCTCACCACATCATGTAAAACGTCAATTGCGCAAGCTTCCAGAGAATCTAGCCTGCACTCATCTGGTCCGTGCTGTATAATTTGACAAAAATCGTCATCAAGAAACTAAGGGCTGTTCGATAATCATTTCATTTACGATTTTTAGTTTTATTTAGTTCCCACCATCACCCTTAATCCAAATTGGCCATTACTCATTTCTACCATACACATTTCCTCTCTCTAACACAAAAAGTGAAAACTGCAAACGATATAATTATACCAGACGGACACTAAATGTACAATAATACCTGTTTGGTTGCCAAGACTTTGATGAAAGAAACAAAGGCAACAGAATATGCAGGAGTGTTCATGCAAAAAAACCGTAAAAAAAACCCCATTAAAAAGATGAAGATGGAGAATCGACCTGACAAAAAGTGGCGTTGTTCGAATTGTTTGTAGATGCATTTCCCCAAGGAACCAGCCTGAGATTTAGAATGGTAATGAGTTCATTGTCGAAAATTCGAGCAAGATTTTTGACGATGAAAGTAGCACAACGGGGGCAAAGAGTTTCATAGTAAACTGAGAGAGTAAGTTTCTGAGCTTCAATACTCGAAACTGATCCGAACGAGCACAAAGTGCTGGCAATGATCAAAGTGAAGGATAAATAAGTAGCAGCAGCCATGTCTCTGAGACTTTAGAGCTGCTGGATTTATGCAGTTGGTTTAATTAAAAACCTCCTACCAATATACCAAACTTGTGATTTCAATTTCGAATTTATTATAAATTCATTTTGCAGCTGTCAATTCCCTTTCGATCTAATTTGGAAAATGCTTGTAGGGTTAAAGTTTCTATCTACTTTTATGTCTTTTACTGTAGGGTTTTTGTTTCTTACTATCGTGGATAAGAATCTTATCATACGATGGCAATCAATGTTTTCGTACAACTTTCTGCAGAAACAAGAGTCGTTTGTCTAGTATAATTATTTTGGCAACAAGTCTTCCAAACGTGTTTCTATTTCTTGCTACACACACATCAGCTGGTGACGGATCTAGGAAATTTTCTTATTGGGCGCAAGATATAGTCGAAAACCACGTCTCACTGCCCATTATTATCTTGCACTACTCGTCTCGAAGGACTTTTGTCAAACAGCTTACCTCACGACAGTTATACTCGGTAGAGATGGAAATCTTTTAGATCGTCGACTGCAAAACGGACGAGTAAGGGCAATAGTCTTCACTCGCCATTGCGAGCAATTGAATATTTTGTTATTCACCAATGTTATAGTAATGTGAAAGATGTAATCAATGACACAACCGACTGCTGTCAGGTTTGCCATCACTTGGTCACCTCCATCATTAATTCATGAAAAAGCCTAGAGAAATAACACATCAATGAAACGCTGCGGATTGAAGCGTTCTCTGATGTTACAAAAACCCCAAATTACAATGAATTGTGTCACACAACTAATATATATATATATAAGGGTACAAATACCAAATTTTGAGACGTTGGATCATGACAATCCAACCACTATATCAGATGAGCATTAGTGTGAAGAGTTCCTTCCTTGGTTTGCAAGGCAAACTCGAGGAACCGGTTTTTCTTGCCCGGTTGATTCGATCTCATAACGAATTGATCTGCAAGCTTGTGGAGGTTGGACATAAAGTTTTGGTAGTCCTAAATACATAGAACAAATTGTAAATGAGGGTGACAAAACTTAATAACAACTTAATTACCCATATATATATATATATATATATATATAGGATTAGCTTGGGAGCTGTTTTTGTGTTTGGTAAACATTTAACTTCAGTTTTTTTTTCACAGTTTTGGGTGAAAAAAAAGCCAAAAATAAGAAGCTGCAAAACCCAGCTTTGAAAAACCGGTTTTTTTCACATCTGTTTTACATAAAAGTTTACCAAACACTATAATATTATTATTTTTTTTTTTTCAAAAGCACTTTTACAAAAAAAGTTTACCAAACACTCTGCTGCTTTATTTCACAGCAGCTTATTCTCACAGCACAGCAGAAGCAACTTTTTTTTTCAAAGCACAGCAATACCAAACCAGCCCTTATTCTCTCTGCCCTTCCATCCTCTCATATTTAAACTGTTGCGATTATGCCATATCTATATCTTGTTTTAAATTTTTTATATAGAAAATAAGATAAAAAGAAGAATGTAAATGGAAGGGATAAAAGAGAATGGTAATAGAAGGGTAGAGAATTCTACCCTGTATATACATGTGTGTGAAATATAAGCGAAACCAACCACATTGCCATATCCAATGTTGCAGCAATTAATAAGCTCAGTGCCTAATCTTGTCATTGCCATTTCAAATGTTGCAGCAATCAATAAGCTCAGGGCCTTATCTTGTCATTTCAACCAATTGAATAAGATGGAATTACTAAGATCACCAACAAGAAGATGAAGAATCTGAACAATTTCCTAATACACATTTTTCATATCAAATCAAATCATTTTTCTGGACATTCATTAACGTGCTCTCAAACTGCACAAGATTGAAAATAGTTGAAAGTATATGTCCCTTTTCGTATCTTTATGGATAAGTGACCGTAACTTGGGGAGCTTGGCTGGCCTTCTCTTTTTCACTCTGTCCATTGCTCTTTTCTCTGTGTTGGTTTCCTTTTAACTACACAAAAATTGTAGTGTGCTACCAACTAGATTTCAATCTAACAGAAGTATCTTTTTTTCGAGAACTCCTTCATTTCTATTAGACAAACAGAGGAGATGGTAGTTTGCTTTAACAAAGAGCATTTCTAAAAGGGACAAGGATCATCTCTCCTCTTTTATTCCCTTCGTTTTCCTCCCCTCATGTTTGAATGTTTGAGATTCATCTTGTTTTTTCATTTTTGTAGAGAGAAAGAAGAAGAAAAGCTGTGAGAGAAGGGAAGGGAGGGGAGGGAAAAAAAAGGGGAGGGAAAAAAAAGGAGGGGAGGGAATCTCCATCCTTTTTATGTGAAAATTAATCTTTTAAAATGTCATTCGGAAACTAATGTGAAAACTCCTTTAAGCTATGTTTGGATGAGAGATTTAAATTCTCATCCAAACATAGCTTAGGGCCCCCAATTTTTAGGAGGAGCTAGGTAGGTCTGGAAGGAGATGGGTTGGAGCTATGCGGGCTTACATGTAAACGTCAGAATTTGAAAATCTTTTGTTGCAGGGTTGGCCTCATGCGAGGAAGAAGACAACCATATTCCCAACATCATTTTAATTGCACGATTTTACTTAAGATGGTCCCACCATCTTTTTTATAGTTGCACGTCATCTCCCTTTTAAATAGTCCCACCATCTTATTTTTGCTTTTTTGCTTTTCTCTTAAATATTATCTTTATGTTTATCCATTCATTCATTTATTGAATGTAATAAGTAACATTGTAATAATAGAAAAATGATTGAAATTTGGCATACTGGGTAAGAACTTCTCTTTCGGTTTGAATTGGTTGAAAAATTAACTTAATAAGTGCATTTGCATTTAAAAACGCGAGATGGATAATATTTGAGTAATGTTTGTATATCTTTCTTTTTTTATATTAATTTTAATGATATTTGATGTAGAAATAATTTTTTTCATATATTTAGTGATTTTTTTTTTTTACACATGTCAATATACATAGGGTCAGGAGTCAGAGAACTCTAGGGCCCCACTTCGAAGGCTCGCCTAGGCCCCCTAATTCTCAAGGCCAACCCTTGTCCTGTGGTACAAACTGCCTCGAGTTTGCTCAATGCGACCAGCATTCTGGTGAAACTGAAGACTCGAGCACAGTCAATGAGCAGAAGCAAATGGTTCTGAGCAGGAAACATCAGCTTCAAGCGGCATCTGGGGACGGTCTATCGCAGTAAACATTGATATGCACAAGAACAGTAATCCTATAGCTGAAAATCAATCGTAAACTAGTCACAGTACCGAAGATCTACAGAGAAGCATAAGTAATAAGCGTTCGAATGATTTATTAAGTTGAATTAACCATCTAAAACATCATTAAATACAAGAAAAGCTTAATTAAATTTCCACGTTCCTCATGCATAGCTAAAGCAAAGCTACAAATTCGATTAGCTCCTTCATGCTCCAACTGAAGGGGGCAATACGCGTTCAGTTGATTTTGCGACCCATCTTGAACTCCGTTGTCAGTCATTTGATGTTACAATCATTCTCAAGAATGAAGACCAGACCATCTAAAGGGAGCTTTTGTGGTGTTTCGTTTTCCCATTTCAGATCATCAAGCGTTGCAGCTATAAGCAATTCTACACACATCTGTGATCCGACAGTCCTGGGGAGCTTCTGCTAGGTTCAATATTCTACCTTCGAATCAACCGGCATTTACATTTGATCATTCGGGTGGAGCAACCTTTGATCTCCAAGTATGGTACTTACACCCTGCAGTTTCATCATGCAGTGATACTTTGGAGGTGCAATGGCACCTGCCTGTGTGCATAGTTCTACTACTGCCGGAGCATGCCCATAAAATCCCCTCCCTTCATTCAAAAGTACTTGAGGATCCTGAGGACGCCGCCGCCATACAGTCTTTGGAGGTACAAGATCATCTACATTTGCCTTCCTCCAAAAATGGGTTCCCTGCCAACTCTCATACTTAAAAATTCCGCAAAGCCTAGCCTTATGCCCAGATGGCCCAACATGAACTTCTGAACAATGTTTACAGACTTTCCCTGGATAAACCATCAGCAACTTCTCCACGCCATTTCTAAGAATTTCCCATGCCCTCAAAGTTCCACTGGCAACCAGAATCAGTTCATCAGATGACAAAGACTCAGCTCCAACAACGCCAACACAATCACTTTCAGAGTTCCAATTTAAATAATTTCCATCATTTGCCCCTGCTTGCCAGCATAGCTCGACAACTGCAGGAACACGTTCAAAGTCAAACCTCTGATGGTGTTTTATAACATCCTGGAACATGTGCTCGAGGTGAAATGCCTCTACTGGAACAAGCACATCTTTCAAACCACCAACTATCCATTCATGAACTCGATTTTTGCCACGACGTTTGAAGCCACAACAAGTCTGAATTAAGTGGCCTTTCTCACCTATATATACTTCTGGACAGAACCTGCAAAAATTAGGCCTTTCGTTGAGTCACAGAAATTGTTCAAAAAGAGCTATATGGAGAACGGAGGGTCAATTAGATATATCTAGTTTGCAAAACATAGCTTGTGCTGCTCCTAAAAATAACATTTAGGGAGCTCAGGAGTCAGGAACATTCAGATAAAGTGGTCTAATTATTCCAAAACAAGAAATACAGAACATAAACACTGGAGCTTCAAAGTCAGTATTATTCCAGGACATGACATGTCAGTAAATATGCGATGGAACAATAAAGTGCCAAGCAGTTCAAAGCTTAAAAAGAATTTATTTTATAAGTAAACAAATATTTGGCAGATGAGGAATTTACTTGCAGGCCAAAACTGGTACCATTTTGAGGAGAGTAGAGACACCTTGCATAACGAGCCTCCGGGAATCAAGGACCTCCTGGGCAACCGGTACCATGGCCGGCACTGGGTAATCTTTAGCTCGGTTTTGGATTCTCTTTTGAATCATAGGCTTTAGCTTCCTTAAGTCCATCTTCAAGCTGTAATACCTTGCAAAGCTGTCCATAATTTTGCCATTGAAATTGGATCTCTCGCACAATTTCTTCCTCAGTGCCATAATTTCCTTTTGGTGCCAAAAATTTTACACAAGATAAATCACATCTGCTCCACAAAAGGGTAGAGATAAAGCCAAT